CTACTTGGGCAGATACCTACCAAATATTTCTGAGGTCACAAAACCTCTCAATGACCTGCTTAAAAGTGATGTGACTTGGACTTGGGACACCGCTCAAGCAGAGGCATTAAGTAAAGTAAAAAAACTTGTTACAAAGTCACCAGTCCTCGCATTCTATGATGTACCCCAACCGACTGTTGTCAGCGCAGACGCTAGCAGTTCAGGTTTGGGGGGGGGGTTTACTTAAAGACCATAATGGACAATTAAAACCAGTGAGCTTTTGTTCCAGAACACTCACCGATGCCGAGCAGCGATATGCTCAAATTGAAAAGGAATGTCTTGCAGCAGTCTGGGCATGTGAGAAATTCAGCAGATACCTTTATGGCCTGAACTCTTTCACCTTGCAGAGCGACCGCAAGCCACTGATACATCTCATAAACAGCAAAGATCTTCCTTCAGTGCCGCTTAGATGTCAGAGACTTTTGCTGAGAATGATGCGGTACAACCCCACAGCTGTGTACATGCCAGGGAAAGAACTTTTGGTAGCAGATACCCTTTCACGCCACCCACAGGCGTCCACATCTTATGAAATAGCAGAACTGCTGGAGGAAATGGAAGCATATGAAGATGTAACACAATGCCCTTGGCCTATTTCTCCTACTAAACTGGATTTAATCAAACAACACACACAGCAGGATCTGACCCTTCAAACAGTGCAAACCTTTTTGCAGGCAGGTTGGCCTAAAAACTCAAATAAAATGCCAGAAGGTGTGAAGCCATATTATGCTAACAGACATTCTATCACCATGTCAAAAGGCCTGCTTCTGTATAATGACAGAATTGTTATACCACAACAGCTAAGACCTGAGATTCTGCAGTGCATTCATGATGGACATCAAGGCATTGTGAAATGCAGAGAAAGAGCCAAATGTAGTGTTTGGTGGCCAGGATTAAGCAGTGAGATAAGACAAATGGTTACTGCTTGTGCACACTGCCAAGAGTCAAAACCAACTCAGCGGAGAGAACCATTGCTTACTACCACACTACCACAGTCGGCCATGGGAGAGGATAGCTGCAGACATTTATGAGCTTAACAAACAGAACTACTTAGTTGTAGTCGACTACTTCTCCCGTTATATTGAGTTAGCCCACCTCAAAAACATGTCAAGTGAGACCACAGTTGCTAACCTGAAAAACATTTGTGCAAGATGGGGTTGTCCAAATGAACTGGTTACCGACAATGGTCCTCAATTCTCAGGAAGACTCTTTGAACAGTTTGTGAAGGACTATGACATGAAGCATATTACCACAAGTCCTCACTACCCACAGGCAAACGGTGAGGCCGAGAGGGCTGTCCAGACGGCAAAAAGGATTCTGAGACAGACTGATCCATTTTTGGCCCTGATGATTTACAGATCAACTCCCATTCAAGCAACTGGTGTGAGCCCAGCCCAACTTATGCTAGGTAGACAGATCAGAACCACGATACCGATCTTGGAAACAAAGTTGCAGCCTGCATGGCCGGATCTACAGCTCGTCAGGTCAACTGATGCGAAGACAAAAGAAAACTATGTGAGAAACTACAACAGCAGACATAGTGCCAAACCACTACCAGAACTCCAACCAGGACACAATGTTTCAGTGAAACTGGACATTAAAAAGGGATGGACAGAACCAGCTACTGTTCTACAAAAGTGTGATTCACCTCGATCATACCTTGTCCAGACTGAGTCAGGAGTCTTGAGGAGGAACCGCCGAAACCTGAGACCCATCCTCAGTAACCCACCTATTCCTGCAACAGATGGACTGCCACAGGTTCAGAGTGAAAATGAGCTACACCCATCTTCCTCACCTGTAGAACCAGGGTGTGACTCTCCGGACCCGGTTCTTCTTAGCTTACCTGGGACTCCAGTTCGTACGACTTCCAGTGGCAGGGTTGTTAAATTACCTAAAAGATACTCTGATTACACCAACTGAAGAAGTTATTCAGCTATTTTGACTTATGCAATTACAGGCATAAGTTTGAGGTTTATTCTGAGAAGGTTCTGTTGGGCTTGAGTTAAATATTTTACTTCAGCTAAGGCTAATATAAAAGGAAAATCATTGGATGTTTGAAGAAGAAAGACCTGTGTTTGGAATTTCATGCTGTTTAAAAAAAAAAGAGAGAGAGAGATAACCGACTGTTAATTTGTCTGAAAAGACTCAAAGAAAGGGTGATGTAATGTAATGGAACTATTTTATGTGTAAGGTTGCATTGGAGTTCTAGAACCAGGAAGTGATTTATGCAGTAGAGACGTTAGAGCCGAAAACACACTGTTCAGCAACCCGAGAATGTGTTGGTGTTATGTTCAACATTAAAGACGTTCAAATGCAATACCGGTGACATCCTTGACTCGACATAACACTACACCTGTCACATTCAGAAAGTTATTCTTGATTATTATTGCTGTACTTCAGTGTTATTATTTAAAATGCCATTATTTAAAATGTTGCGTGGAGAAGATTTCGATTGTTGTTAATAGTTGAAGAAGTCGTTCTTCTTCTTCTGTTTCTGGAGGGGCTTTAGCGCCAACTACTGGAATGGAGTGTGAATCAGGATGTGCAGCCAGACGTTCTGCTCATGTGCTCTTGTTATCAGAGAACAGAGCCAGGGAAAAACCAAGCCGAGCCCACCTCTGGAACTGGTCTGCAGTTAGCTCGGTTTGTTTGTGTCTATCTCGGTTCAGTTCAGTTTGCTTTCCATTTACACACGATAAGTTATCTCAGTTGCTGAGCTCGGACCGGTTTTGGCACGGTTTTTCAAGGGTAGTTTAAATGGGGTATATGTGTTTCTGTAACTGTAGTAAAAAAAAAAAAACAATAACACATGCAAGTAAAAACAAAAACAGCAACTTTAATTTGCTCTAGGGGGCCATAGCTGCCTTGGGGGCCCTGAGTAGCTGCTCCTTCCACTAGCCCTGCTTGCATTTTGCTTTTATCGGAATAAATGATGGTGGATGTGTTAACGTGTGGTTTTAAAGAATGAGCACTTTAGTTTAAATAAAAACTTGATTATATTTTTGATCTAAATCAAAAGAACATTTAAGAACACTGTTCAGTGTTGCAAACAGGGTAATAAACTGTAACGTGGAAACGTTTGCTATCAAATCATTCTGTTTATTCATATCTGAACTGACTTTAATAATTTTTTAATATAATATTTTCTAAGGGAATCTATTCTTTCTTTCATTGATGTCGACCCTGCTGCCAGAAATGGTTTCCTATAAAGCAGGGGTCACCAACATGGTGCCCTCAGATTCTTCTGAAGACAGGACATTGGCTTAAGTTTGGAATTGTATTTTATTCTGTTGCTCTTCTTTTAATCATTTATAGAGCATTTCAAAATGACAATATAATAAGAAATTAAAAGAAGCAATAAAAATATGTCTATAATGCAAGAACTTTAGGTGAACGCTCACCCTTGCAGTTCATGGGTCAGTGTTGGTGGCCCTTCCTGACTGAGTACCATGAAGTAGACAGAAGCCTTAAAAAGTTGGTGACCCCTGCTAACAAGTCTGCTTCTGCCCTCTAGTGGTAGCTAGAGGTCATTGCAAATCCATCATGAATCCATCAATCACTGATGTGTAATGAGTTGATATAGATGTAGTACTGCTAGAATACATTTCCCCATCTCCTTTGCAGCATAATACCTTCATTCTTTAAGCTAAACTGTCATATTTGCTGCTCTGGTGTTTACAAACATAAACGACTATTGATAACTTTGAAACATTTATTTACAACAAGAAACTTTTCAGGTACAAAGGTGTTTCCATATAAACAGATAAATTAAAGAGAAAAACAGAGACATGTCTTAAACACCAAGAGAAAGCAGAGCTCAAGAGAGACAGAACAAAAAATAGAATACAAAAGTTTCTGAGCTGATAAAGGAGTGATAGGAGTGGGCATGGTCAGCACTGCCATCAACGCGTGACCTGCTGGGTGAACACAGCTGAGGGTCCACTGGGTGCAGGAAATCTTTGCTTCCCCCCCTCAGCGGGACACAGCCAGCATGTAAAGGCAGCTGGTGGCCGGCCTTAGCATGGATGGAGGGAATTTACATCCATTATTGTTGCAAACAACATGTTTTTAAAGGAAAAGTTCAGTCAGGAAGGAATAATCATTGAATCATTATTTATATCTAAAACTAATACATTTGCAGTGATTTAATGAATTTAGCGATAATCAGTAAAAAAAAAAAAAAACAATAGTTTTGGTCACGATCACTAAGTCTGGGAGCGGCCATTTTTGCCCAAATATAGTAACCCCTCCCTCCTGCCATCTTCCAGCAGTGACGTCACGGTGCGGTTAGCCTAGCGCCATTCTCCCCGCTTTCCAAGCTAAATCAATGGGAACTACTAGACACATCTGCAATCAACAACAATTATTGAAGATTTCCAGAGGACTTCACCATTGAAATTCACCAGAGCTATAGTGAAACTGACAATGCTCACGTGCATGGCAGCTGGATGTTGGAATACATCGGGTAAAACTGAAAAATATTACACCTTTCTGATTCCTGATCCTCCACGGACGGGTTCATCGTTGGATCGCCAACTTGAAGAGGGAGGATTTGCCATCGAACTTCTGGCCAGAGAAAAAACACGTAATATGTAGCCAACATTTGGAAGAAGAATGTTTTCAAGATGACTTGGATAATAGCGCGTTGTGACAAACACCAGATACAGCACTGGGACTTGATCAACAGCCGATACCGCACCGTGACGTCACGAACCAGTAGGTGGCAGTAGTGTTCTTTGACAAACATGGATGCCTCCAGTAAAGCACATTAAAATTACTCTGAATTAAAATGCTTATCATTTATTGAAAGATAAATAATTTCATACCTTAAGTACTGTCAGAAGTTTGAATTCTGAATATGACCAGACTTTTCCTTTAAATGGAGGTTAAAAAAAAATGAAAAAAAAAAGCCAGAAATTAGGTTAACTTGCCACTTTCCTCACGTTTTTTTTTTTTCAAATGTGATATAATGTAGTTTTATTTCTCTTTTTCAGAAGTACGGCTCGTGTTGTGTTCTCCTCTGAACAGTGGAGCCAAGAAGCTTTTCATAGACATCAGCAAAGACATTTTTAATGTTCACTAAAAGCAAATGTTTGATTTTTGCTTAAAGTGAACAGAATGTGAACCTTAAGATCCTTAGAATCTAAAAAAAAGGAGAAATTTGAAAAAAAAAAAAAAATAACAGCCATAAAACCTTTTTGAAAACAAAACTTAGAGGGGAAAAAAATTGAAATAAAACCTTAGAAAAAAGAAAAGTGAATCTAGAACCCCTTTTTTAGGTCAAGATGTTTTTCACTTCTTTTTATTCAACCTTCCTTTAACAAACCATCCTCTTTGCTTACAGCAGAAACAAAGCCTTTCAGGTATGCTGCCTTAGTGGTTAAGCTTGGTGCTGTTAAGCTGAGACTAAAAATGTTTTTATTTAACAGCTAAGTTTAACATAAAAAACTAATTTAACGGGTTTGATTAGATAATAAACACAAGCTGGATTTTAGTAACTGGGCAGATCAGAACGATGGTCTGCTCCCATCAGGCTGCCATGTTTTTGCTGACAGTTTAGTGACTTTAAAATAAGTTTCCTGTTCCTCTTAGGTTGTCTGTAACTAAACTGGATTTTAACGAAAACCTCCTTTAGCATCTCCAGAACCTGCAGCACCACTGGGAACAAACACGTCCAATCTGAAGCCTTTGTTCTGGACGTCCTGTTCGCTGATCGGTCGTCTTCTGGTGCATTATTGGGAAAAATATGAGGAAGGGAACCAATAAAAAGTCACTTAAATCGAGCAAGTTAAATAAAAGATTCAGATAAAATCTTGGTTTAATAAAAAGGTTTCTGGTCAGTAGATGAATTCTCCAGGGACCTCCTGCAGGACGCTGAATGGCTCCTCAAACTTGAAGCGTTTAGAGGTGATGGCCTTCTGCTCCACCGCCTCTTCAGAGGACGAGCTGGATGACTGGCGGCACTGACCTAAGGTGTAGGCCGCCATGACAATCAGCTCCTCAGTCACCGCCCCTCCTCCCTCTGGATCTTCATCTGTGCTGCGGCCAGGCGCCCGGCTGCTGATGCTGGACCTCTCTGGTTTTTCCTCCATCGGGGGCCCAGTCCTCTGAAGCCAGGGGTGTGTGAGGCACTGCTCTGCCGTGGCCCGCTCTCTGGAGATAGACACACATTAGTCAGAGCTGCTGCATGGAACGAATTAGAATCTAGAAGCTCTGTGTCTGGAGTTAGCCCCTTTAAAGAAAAAGTCTTGTCATATTAAAAATTCAAACTTCTCAAAGTATTTTAAATATGAAATTATTACATACTGTTTAATAAATAAGTGTTTTAGTAATTTTCATTTTAATGTGCTTTACTGAAGGCATCGATGTTTGTCAAACAACACTACTGCCATCAGATCAGAGAGCAGAAATAGATTTAATGGAGAAGCGAATAGATTCGAGAGAAAGCAGAGGTTTTGAATGCGACCATTACAAGTTTTCAGTGCAAGTAGAGGAAATCCAGCTCTTCAATTGAAAATGGGTGCTCTTGCTTTTTGGCAGGAAAAATCTTCCATAGCCATACAGCGGTCATGCTGTGGTCTGCAGCCGGCGCAAATGGCCTGGAGAGCAAGGAGACGTCAGAGACAGGGGTCCCATGATGACTGAGGAGGATACAGATGTGGCACATACAGTAGCAGCCATTGAAAACGTCCTCACTTTCCTTGAAGGGTCCTTGGCTGGTCCCCTACAATTCCTTTGTAAAACTCAATCTTTGTGCTAAAATATTCCTACTGTCAATATTTGTGGACCTTAAGATCTAAAGAGAAGCGTCATCCCCTGGTCAGACCCTGTAATTCAGTGAAAGGGTGGAGTCAGAGTAAAAAATATGAAAGAAGAGGGGTCACTCCAGGGGCTGGAAGTTGGAGGTGATTTTTGAAGGAAGGTGCCTGCAATTCAGCTGCCATTCGCTGCCGTTGGGCTAGGAAGGGGTGTTTTGAATGGCTGCTACTGTATATTATAAACATCTGGCTGTTATAGACCAAATAAAGACTGTGAGGGAGGACTATGAGTCATGAACCCAAAAAACAGCTGAACTTCTCTTTATAGTGGACTAAAATCTACATCTAAAGGTCCAGTGTGCAAAATATTCCTTATAGACCCAACCTGTGTAAATGTGCTGCTAATATAAAACATTTACTTAGTGAAGTTTCAGTTTATGCCCTTTTTTTATTTCTATTTCAGTAAAGAACCTAGAAGTTCCCTCCTTTGCAGCTTTTCAACACAGTCTCTGGGTGCTGCCGTCCTGTTCCAGTAGGAAAAGGTCATGCTGATAGCACTTTAGATCTGTTACAGGAAAAGGACCGATCGGCATATATATATATAGAGCATTTAGTAAAGCTTTCAATGGAGCACTCCATTGAAAGTTAAAAGTTCTCTTTTTGTTGCTGTTGTCTAATAAAAGTACGTTTAAAGATCATTTGAGGCGATAATATTATGCTCTAAAGCATCACTATATGGTCCATTTACCAATTTAATGCGTAGTTTTAAAAACATTTTCCCAAGTTCAGAGGACCGCAGCAACCAGTGGAGCTCCGAGGCTAACAGCAGCCAGGGCTAACTGCAGCCCATCTGCAGCGGCCCTTTCTCAGCATAGTCGTGTGGGGCTCTGGAGATTTTTGACTCGGATTTGGAATCATTTTTGGAAGGATTAGCCTTGGGGTTTTTCGTTGAAACGTGAGCAGGAAGAGTCTCTACCCGCATTCATTTTTAAGAAGGACGTATTCGCCGTTTTACAGACAGGCTTTTTGTTTAAACTCCTCCACCAGCTTCCTGTCGCGCTTCCTACGTCACAGTCAGTTGCGCTCATTGGTCAGAGTGTTGGCCAATACGCGGTTTGATAAAACAAGGGGTTGTTCTCATCAACTATCTTCCAATGTCTCATTCATCAGGGCCAGACTATATTACATATTTAATCTCACATTTAATCTGGTTTTGTCAGGCTAGTTAAAGTCCATAAAGGGCTCATGAGACTGATCACTATACGATGTTAGAAGATACGGCGTAAACCAGCATTTTCTCAAGTATGCAACATTGTGTTGGTGTTGCAGCCATAAAGGAGGAGCTGAGCTATGAGGACACAGAGCAGGGCGGGACAAACTTCTTCCTCTTTCTTCATCTTCATACCTCCTTCTTTCATCCTCTTTCTACTTTTCTTCCTTTTCATACCTATTTCTTCCTTTTTCTACCTCTTCCTGCCTCTGTCATGTATGTGATGTACACATACATGTACATATATCTTTTTGTATGTTGAACCATTTCCAGGTTCTTTAAAATGAGCAAAAACTAATAAAAAACCCACAAAGAATTCATTAAAGTCTATAACGGGTTCATGAGACTCTGATTACTTCACGATTTTAGAGGATGCGGTGTAAACCATCATTTTCCCACGTGTGCACCATTGTGTTGGTGTTTCAGCCGTAAAGGAGGAGCTGAGCTATGAGGACACAGAGCAGGGCGGGACTTACTGAGGCCGTCTGCGCAGCAGCATCTGGATGAACGACAGGGCGGCGCGGTCCAGCTGCTGCAGCTCCTCAGCATTGTAGCTCACATTCAGCCGAGAGATGTTGAGAAACGTCTCCTGTTTGTCGTCACCCAGGAATGGAGAGATTCCCGTCAGCATTATGTAGGCCAGGACTCCGATGCTCCTGAATCAGGCCAAAAAGGTTTTCATAAAAAAAAAAAAAAAAGAAAACATCCAAGGAACGTAAACCTGCAGCCCCTGGACAGAAATATATTTTGAATAGATAACATTTTACAGAATATTTAAAGGAAAAGTCTGGTCATATTCAGACTTCAAATTTCTGAAAGTACTTTAAATATGAAATTATTACATACTGTTCCATAAATGATAAGTGTTTTTAATTAAGACTAATTTCATTTCAATGTACTTTACTGGAGACATCCATGTTTGTCAAAGAACTAATTGCAGATGTGTCTAGTAGTTCCCATTGATTTTGCTTGTAAAGCGGGGAGAATGGCGCTAGGCTTACCGCACCGTGATGTCACTGCTGGAAGATGGCAGGAGGGAGGGGTTACTATATTTGGGCAAAAATGGCCGCTCCCAGACTCAGTGATCATGATTTTTAATGATTAACGCTAAATTAATTAAATCAAAGTGAATGTACTAGTTTTAGGTATAAATAATCATTGCTTGCTGACCGGACGTCTCCTTTAAGAAACCATCTATTAACCCTGTTAACTTGGTGAATTATAGACCTATATCCAATCTTCCTTTCTTTTTAAAATTCTTGAGAAATAATTGCCAAAAAAGTGTGGAAAAATCTGCTGCGGGAAAGGACCACAGGCCAGATTCAGCGTTGAGGACTAAGGCCTCCACACATGGGTCGCGTGCACTAACTACTGCGCCACCAAAGCACGCCCCTTAATTTCTTTTCTAGATAACTAGATCTAGGGAAACACCACACATTACCGAAGTAGCTGATTTGTTTGAGCCCTGAAAATGCTCATCTCTCTTTTTTCCCTGCTTCCTGTTTGGACCTGTTCACTTCCTGTTTGGATTAACTGAGTGTGCAGCTGTTCAGAAGAACTCCATCTGAAGTTAAGTTATTTTCTCTGTGATATCTCTGTATCTATGTAACTCTAACTGACTACTTTAAAACATAGCACCTTCTGCTGCACTTTTCTACTGAGCACTTGTCAGTTTCACACGGTTTTATTTCTGATAGCAAGGAGTAGCTAGCCTAGGCTAGCGCTAGCTTAGCATTGCTATGGCTTCTCTCTCTCCCTCCCTTGACTCTTTTCCAACTCTTCCTTCTTCCTCTCCTCTCTCCTCTCTCCTGCTCTCTGTGTCAGATGTTCAGTTATTCCTCTGCCTCCTTTAGTGATAATGTGTAATAAGTGTAGTATTTTTGTAGCTTTGGAGGCGAGGGTGTCAGAGTTAGAATCCAGGCTTCAGGCTGTAGAACATCCAGGAGTTAAATTAGGCCCCCCACGTCGCTGTCCTCCAAAAGTGCCTGAGCAGCCAGGCGATTGGGTAACTGTACGCAGAAAGCGTAGTCGTGGATCTCTGCCCACTGGTCACCACCAACCCGTTCACGTTTCTAACCGGTTTTCCCCACTCAGTGACACACCCACTGAGAAGCCCACTCTGGTGATTGGCAGCTCCATAGTCAGAAACGTGGCATTAGAGACACCAGGGACCATAGTCAAATGTTTGCCGGGGGCCAGAACGGGCGACATCAAATCCTACCTGAAACTACTGGCTAAGGATAAGGTTAAATACAGTAAGATTGTTATTCACGCTGGTGGTAATGACACCCGGTTACGCCGATCGGAGGTCACTAAAATTAGTGTTGCTTCGGTGTGTGAGTTTGCCAAAAAAATGTCGGACTCCATAATTTTCTCTGGTCCCCTCCCTGATCTGACCATTGATGACATGTTTAGCCGCATGTCGTCATTCAAGCGCTGGTTGTCTAGGTGGTGTCCTGAAAACAACGTGGGCTACATTAAGAATTGGCAATCCTTTTGGGGAAAGTCTGGTCTGATTCGGAGAGACGGCATCCATCCCACTTTGGATGGTGCAGCTCTTCTTTCTAGGAATCTGGCCACATTTATTAGTCCTCCAAAACCCTGACCACCCAGGGTGCAGACCAGGAAGCAGAGTCCTAGTTTAACAGACCTCTCTGCAGCTTCTCTACTGTTACCCACTCTTTACTCCATCCAGACAGTGTCTTGCCCAGGACCAAAATCTAATAAATTAGCAAAGATTCTCAAAGGAGTAAATCATGATAATCTAATTAAAATCAAAATAACTCCAATTGGGGAAAAAGTTAAAACAATTAAATGCGGTCTGTTTAACATAAGATCGCTTTCCTCTAAAAGTCTGCTAGTTAATGACTTGATTTGTGATAATCACATTGACTTGTTTTGCCTTACAGAAATCTGGCTGCAGCAAGAGGATTATGTGAGCATAAATGAGGCAACTCCTTCAAGCTATTTAAATTTTCACATACCCAGAAGTTCTGGGCGAGGAGGAGGAGTAGCAACAATCTTCCAGTCTGACTTACTGATTACTCCCAAAACAGTTAATACCTACAACTCTTTTGAACATTTAACCCTTAATTTCCCTGATCCAAATTTCAAGGCAAGAAAACCTCTTCTTTTTGTAACTTTGTATCGTCCACCAGGTCCTTACTCTGAATTTTTAGATGAGTTTTCAGAGTTCCTTTCTGATTTGGTATTAAATACTGACAGGGTCATCATAGTGGGAGATTTTAACATCCATGCTGACATTGAAGGCGATAGCTTCAGAGCAGCCTTTAATGCTATCTTAGACACTATTGGCTTTGTTCAGAGTGTGAATAGTCCCACGCATTCTCACCTTCATACTTTGGATCTTGTGCTGACATACGGGATAGAATGTGAAGAAATAATAGTATTTCCTCACAACCCTGTCCTCTCTGACCACTTTCTAATAACCTTCAGGATTACTTTAACAGAGTTCTCCTCCCCCAAAAGAAGGTTCAATTTTAGTAGATCTTTATCAGATAGTGCAGTTATAAATTTTAAAGAATCTGCTTCACTTTCTCTCTCCTCTGTGTCGCTGAGCAGTGCTGCAGAGTGCAAAAGCTTAGCTTATTCCCCTTCACAGGTTGATGATTTTGTTGATGGGGTTGCTAGTTCTCTGCGTATTGCCTTAGACAACGCAGCTCCTTTGAAAATGAAAACCGTTAAAAATAGAAAGCTTGCTCCTTGGTTTAATGCAGAGCTGCATACTTTGAAGCAAAATGCTAGGAAACTGGAGAGAAAATATCGCTCCGCAGGCCTGCGGGAGTCCTTCCTAGTCTGGAAAAATGGTTTACTGCTGTATAAGAGGACCCTTTGTAAAGCGAGAGCAGCATACTTCTCCTCATTAATAGAGGAGAATAAGAATAATCCTAGATTTCTTTTTAATACAGTTGCCAAACTCACCCAGAGCCATAGCTCTGTTGAACCGTCCATTCCACCTGCTCTTAGCAGCAATGATTTTATGGGATTCTTTATAAATAAGATTGATCTTTTTAAAAATAAGATCATAAGCACTCCTCTATCCGCGATTGTACCTGAGGTAGTCATGGAATCTGAACCGGGTTTAGACTGCTTTGATCCAGTTGAACTTTCTGAATTAGCAAAATTATTGTCTTCACCTAAGCCTTCAACTTGTATGTTAGATCCAGTTCCAACCAGGTTATTTAAGGAGGTATTCCCTTTGATCTCCTCCTCCATTTTAGATGTGATTAATCTATCTCTGTTACAGGGATATGTACCTAAAGCTTTTAAGGTTGCTGTAATTAAACCTCTGCTTAAGAAACCGTCTCTTGACCCAGATGACTTGGTCAATTATAGACCTATATCCAATCTTCCTTTCTTATCCAAAATTCTTGAGAAAGTAGTTGCCAAACAAGTTTGCGATCACTTACACCATAATGAACTTTTTGAAGAGTTTCAGTCTGGCTTTAGAGCTCATCATAGCACTGAAACAGCTCTGGTGAAAGTCACTAATGATATTCTCATGGCCTCAGATAATGGACTTGTATCTGTGCTCGTCCTGTTGGATCTTAGTGCTGCATTTGATACAGTTGACCATAATATTCTTTTAGAAAGACTTGAATATTTTGTTGGAATTAAAGGAACAGCACTAGACTGGTTTAAATCTTATCTATCTGATCCAATTCAGTTTGTTCATGTTAATGATAGATCTTCAACACGCTCAAAGGTTACCTGTGGAGTACCACAGGGATCAGTGCTAGGACCAATTCTCTTTACTTTATACATGCTCCCAATTGGTAGAGTTATTAGACAGCATGGGATTAATTTCCACTGTTATGCTGATGATACCCAGCTATATCTGTCTATAAATCCAGATGAAGCTCCCCCATTACATAGATTACAGGCATGTCTTGAAGACATAAAAACCTGGATGACTCTTAACTTTCTGCTTCTGAATGCAGATAAAACAGAAGTTATAGTCTTTGGACAAGAGTCTTTGAAAAAGAAGCTGATTAGTCAGTCACCTCATTTGGATGGGATTAAACTGATTTCAGATAATAAAGTAAAAAATCTTGGTGTTATTTTTGATCAGGACCTGTCATTTAAATCCCATATCAAAGAGGTTTCTAGAATTTCCTTCTTTCATCTGAGGAACATTGCAAAAATTAGAAATCTCCTGTCCAGGGGTGATGCTGAGAAACTAGTCCATGCATTTGTTACTTCAAGGCTGGACTATTGTAATTCTTTACTATCAGGAAGTCCACAAACTGTAGTTAAAAGCCTTCAGCTGATCCAAAATGCTGCAGCCAGAGTTCTGATGAGAATTAAAAAGAGAGATCATATCTCGCCTATCCTGGCTTCTCTTCATTGGCTTCCTGTTAAATCAAGAATAGAATTTAAAATCCTCCTTCTCACATATAAAGCCTTAAATGGCCAAGCTCCATCTTATATCAGAGGTCTGATTGTTCCTTATGTTCCTAACAGAGCACTTCGCTCTCAATCTGCAGGTTTACTAGTGGTTCCGAGAATTTCTAAAAGTAGAATGGGAGGCAGATCTTTTAGTTATCAGGCTCCTCTCCTGTGGAACCAACTACCAGTTTTAGTCCGTGAGGCAGACACCCTGTCTACTTTTAAGGCTAGGCTTAAAACTTTCCTTTTTGATAAAGCTTATAGTTAGAGTGGCTCAGGTTATCCTGAGCTATCTCTATAGTTATGCTGCTATAGGCTTAGACTTTTGGAGGACATAGGGACCCCCATTTCATCATTCTGCTTCATTCTCTCTCTGTTCTCCTATTCTGCAGAATCTGTTAGTTCAATCTCTAACGTTCTGCTCTCTCTGCTTTTTCTCAGAGTAGCTTTGCCTAGTCTGTTCCTGTTTGGCTGTGACGTCATCCTGGAAAGAAACATCAGCTGTGCTGCTTCCATCAACACCCTTGTTTATAGATGTTGGAGATCGGCCTGTTTTCCAGTGTGGTCCTGTTTCTCTGACCGTGACTGAGTGGATGTGCTCTCTTCATCCTCTGACATGGGAGCTGCCTTGGAGCTTGTCTGCCTGGCTGTGTGTTTCCTGGACGGGGCCGCCTTTTACAGCTGCTTTTTGTATCTCTGCTTCTGTCTCCTTGAACCCCAGTCGGCCTCGGCAGATGGCCGCTCACACTGAGCCTGGTTCTGCTGGAGGTTTCTTCCTGTTAAAAGGGAGTTTTTCCTCTCCACTGTCGCTACAAGCATGCTTAGTGTGAGGGATTGTATTTGAGTCAATGACTCAATGCATTCAACTGGTTTTCCTTAGATAGAAAACTTTGTATCGATTTGACTGTATGATCTGGTTGAACTGTAAAGTGCCTTGAGATGACATGTGTTGTGAATTTGGCGCTATATAAATAAACTGAATTGAATTGAATTTTTTCATGTTGGATTATTTAGACGTTTCTTCAAGCTTCTTCTCATTGTAACAGCAGGTGAAAAACCCCAGAGAGTCTTAGGAACAAATCCCGCCTGAATTTAGAATTGTTAACTAAAGCAAGTACAGCTCCCAAACTATAAATTGGAAATACAATTGTTTGTATTTGTATGATACAAAGGCATTGAGGAATATTTTTTAGGTGGAACCGCTATTATATATGTCACCATGTCTGATTTATAGGTGGTTAAATAAAGAAAAAAATTCCAAATGTTTTTCCAAAATAAACACTGCATAACACCATGAAACCGCATCTGCAACTCTGGATAAAGCCTCAGACTTTATAGATCTACATCTTGACTATAACTCAAGCAAATTTGGACCGAATAAGTTGAAGCATGTTTGTTCCATAAAGTTTTAGTGGGCAGTGTGCTAGGCGGACAAATATGCTGATTTACATTATTATTAAGACAAAGCCTTTAGTCCTAAGCTTTAGCTGCTGTTTCATTGAAATGTAACAATAATATCACCAAATTGAATAGAAAATAAGAATAACAGCAATAGCTTAGATAATACATGCCAGTTGCATTGCCTGAATGGTCGCACAATTATCTCCAACTCCTTCTTGGAAAGGTCTGAGCTCTAGTTTCCAATAGGGGTGGGTATTGCCAAAGGAGTCACGATTCGATTCGAATCACGATTCACAAGCCACGATGTGATTCTATCACGATGCATCACGATACTTGAATTATTGCGATGCATTGCAATATTTTCTCCTCCATGTTTTGTTTTTGAATGACTCGGCGCAGTAGAAATGCTTGTGACACAAGGCAGCGTGCGTCAACACATCCGCAGCGACATCTACTGGACTGGAAGTTGTATTACACTTGTTTTTGGCTGATGTTCGCCAACCATTCATGCAATTTTATTTACTCATTTTTTTAAATTAATAATCGATACTTGGCGTCCAGAATCGATGCAGTAGATCATGAAAATTAGAATCACGATGCATCATCATGACGATTATTTTGCACACCCCTAGTTTGGCGGCCATTGGGGGGGTGTAAAAATGAATACCTGCTGTAGCATTACTCCTGCAGAGTCACACATTTCAAGTGGAATTTTAAATCTCACTGTATTGGTTTACACAGCTATAAAACAAAAAGTATTTCTGAAAAAACATTTTTGAAACGATGTTTAAGTCCCATTTGAAAGTCTTGTGGATGAAACACCATGTGACTGTGTTTTGGCCATTTCTATAAATAGATAATTGTGAGCAGGTGTACGCTGGGCCCTGTACCGGGCTTAAGGTTCTGTCTTGAGACAAGGACATCGAGGTGATGAATGGAGCCTGGGAAAATAAAGACTTGGTAAAAATCCTAAAATCTGAATCATTTCTTCTCACCACATGTCTGTTGCAGTGCTGATAGGCTCGTAGTTGAGAATCTCAGGGGCTGAAAAGGAAACCGGAGAAGCAGAGCAGCTGCATCAGTCTGAAGTCAGTCTGAACATTTGCAGGATGCAGGGATGGATCTGAGGGCGACTCACCCACGTACTCTGGGGTTCCCATGATTTCCCTGAGCTCATGGTGGCTGCTGAGCTTCCTGGACAGCCCAAAGTCCACAATCTTAATGTCGCCCAGAGGAGAGCTGCTGGTCAGCAGGATGTTCTGAGGCTGATGGGACAAAGGAAGCAATCGTTTCTTCTCCATGAACAGCACAACGCCTTTGCTCAGAGTAATGAAAACAGAGACAAAGTGAACATGTATAGAAAAAAGTTGAACTGGACAGACTTTCAGGTCGAGGTGGACCAAGCTGTTCTGATGAAAGAAGGAGACTCCCTCTAAGATCTGCCTCAGAAGTCTCTTCACATCATCCTCCATGAAGGCCTCATCGTCTCGATCCGACACACACTGGTTGAAGATTTCCCCTCCGGCAGCGCTGCAACCAAATACAAACAGTTTTCGTCCTCACAATCCAGAAAGGTTAAAATTAGGGCTGCAACTAACGATTATTTTAAAAATCAATGAATCGGCCGATTATTTTTTTGATTAATCGATGAATCGGACAAAAAATATTTTTTATATTAACCTCTTTATTCCAAAATAAACATTTTAGACAGAACAAACAAGCACACAAGTACAGGTTGCTCATTAACTGTACTGGTGCAATATGAAAAATAAATGTTTGTGTTAAAACTACGCAAACTTACATGAGAAATGTAGCTGTACATCCACAAAATATAGGGTACTTTGTTTCATAAAGTGCAAAAGCCTCTAAGGGGTTCAAAAAATATGTCCCCCCATTTCAACAAATGAGGTTTTTTAGACTAGAAGAGTTCTGCCTTTTAAGACAGGAAAGTAAAGCAGTTAAAGTTGCTGCTTGAGAAAATACTGAACCATAGAGATAAAAATAGCCCTGTGATTCAAATTATAAATTGTATTTGGAATAAAAATGAGAGAACTAGGGGTGCTAAAAAACACATCCTCCAAAGACAGATATTTACATGGAAATGTGGCAGATAATTAATTGACCTATCACTAATCTTGCTGGATTTTATTCTGCTTTACTTCCATAAATTGCAGGATCTTCTTTACTTTATCTTTGCCAGAAGATTTAAACTTTAAAAGCCTTGCCCTCATAATTTGCAAGTTAATGTATTTATAAAGAAAATATAAACGCTGCTTAAGCTAATTCAAATGAAAGTAAAATAAGTAGCCAACCTTATCACTGTCTGTAACCTACTAACAAGGTAAGGAAAGCATCAGATGAGCTACCTGAGAAACTAACGTTACGTTTCCCCACTTTAAAACCAAACAAACATGGTCACTCATCCTGCTGATCAGCTCTCTTCACTGCCATTGAAGGCTCCAACGTGTTTTCTTTTCAGGTGCTGCATCATAACAGTGGTGCTTCCGCGCCATGTTCATTTGTTTTTACAAAAGTTGCATGTTAAGACTTTTTTACAAAGCGCAGGCTATTTTAATTATTGTGATCGATTTGCGCCGTCAATCCCGGCGCATGCGCACTTCATTTGCAGTCTGGACGCTGAGGGTAAACTCCTCACTAAAATCCTGCGGCTCTGACTGCAGCGCTGAGAGGGAGAGGGAGAAAGGGGTTGGGATGGGGGAGGCGCCCCACGGCAGGCAAAAGCCGCCAGTGACACCGTAAAGAGTCGCCAGATTTGTCGCTAGTCGCTTTTTGAAAAATAGTCGCTGGAGGGGTCTGAAAAGTCGCTGAGTTGGCAACACTGCAACTGCGGCGCTGACTCGCTCCGCCATATTGTTTTTCTTCCCCCGGATGACGGCGGCGGCGGATGACGCATTAATCGCGCGACAGAACTAATCGATGATTAAATTCGTTGCCAACGCTTTTAAAAGTCGATTTTTATCGATTTTATCGATTCGTTGTTGCAGCCCTACATTCATCCATTTCAATATGCATGTTTTCTTAACAAAAAAAAAAGAATTTGTTGGGCTACTGGATAAAGCTTTAATCTCAACGCTATTTCTGACATTTTGAATTGAAAAAGCTGGATGTGAAGAGAAACGTCATCAAAGTTGGAAAGAAAGTCCAGTGGATTTTCCTATAACTTTTTTGGAATGACTATGACCAGGATGACTGGGAATCTTTACCAGCATTAAACCTGATCACACAGTGTTGCAACCATGATTTAGACCTGCATGTTTTCAATGTTTGAGCAAAATGGCATCGCCTAAATCTAGTCGGATTTAAGACATTTCCAGGTTCTTTTAAAATGAGCCGTTAAGCTTTTTTTTTTTTTTCAAATATTTATTTAGAAAAGTTAACAAACTAAAAGTAACTTTTTAATCAGATTAATAGATAATTCAAAATAAAATCAACAGATTAATAGATCAAAGAAATAATCAGGTTGTTGGATTACCAAGATAATGGATCTGTACCGCTCCAGAGGTACTACTCCTCACAGCGTGGACCTTGGACAGACCATATACAGAACTCTCAGAGAGAAACTAATGGATCCGACTGTAATTTACCATTTATGCTCTGAGTGTGGATGGAAACCAAACCAACCAGAGAAAAAACAGATTATAATCTTAGTTCGATTCACATGAAAAAGCCTAAAAGCTGTCCTTTGGCCAATTCTGGTTCCTCATGTGAGAAAACCAACCCTCTCATGCCTCAGCATGTGTTCTGCTTTGCTTGAGGTGGCGGCAGAAATAGCAAAGCGCCATCAAATATAGCAAACTAATTATGGGCTTGACTTGAATGAGGCCACTTGTACAGCTCTCAGATAACTTTCATTTCAGGTCACAGCAAAAAAGGAAAAGCTTGTGAAAATAAAGCTTTCATGAGAGATCAAAGGCCATCTTTCGACTCAGCTTCATTTCCTCTTCTGGGTAACTTTCAGGAGACATAAAAATATCCCCAAAGAAGGCCTGTAAATTCAGCTCACACAGAGGAAGGTGGGCAGGTTAAGGTGGAGCGGCTGCATGTTTGGCATGGGAAGGCCTTAAAAACTACCGGTTGGGCTAGCAAAAACAATAAAAAAGATTAAAAACTGTTTGGTTTTCATCAAAACAAACCAGCAGAGGTGACAACATGTCATCTCTGTGGCTTGCATGGATGGATCCATTGATCCCGTATTCCTTATTAGGTTCATCTCCAGCAGGGGCTTTCCTCCAAGACAGAACTCTGGCTACCTGCTCATTTATAACATTTAAACTTTTACAGTTCCCTTCTCTGAAAAGAATTGGAATGCAGATTTTATACAAACTGGAATTGAAGGAAGAAATAGTTCAAATTTAAACGATGCTGACCCTAAGCCATCAGCTTCCAACCAAAACAACTTTAAAGTCATAAGGAAACGGCCGTTCCAACCATTGCATTTCCGAATTCTCCCGGGTGGTGCCCGACTTTACACGAGTGAATAAAGTGATTGTGATTTGTTTTTGTCAAGGGGGCGGGATTGTTGTGGCGGAAGGTTCACAAGCCAGTTTGGTTGTGGCCGGTTTGTCGGAAGAATCTTGCTAACAAGTGATCAACTTAGTGCTAGTAGGTTCCCCATGAGAAATGACATTGGGATCAAGTAGCACTGGTCCTGAGCATGCCAGTGACGTTACACTACATGATTGGCTGAATGTGGCCACATGATGTAAAACAGCGTGGTTGCCCAGACAACGATAATAACATCACGCAGCGTCCGTGTGCAGAGTCGGGAGCATGTGTAATGTTAGCATGTCTAATGACTGATGAAGTTTTACCTGATCGATAAAAAAACGGGGAAAAAAAGTTTATGGTGAACAGTAACTGCAAGACCATGGTGTAAAGGGGGAGAGCTGGGTAGCGCTGTGGCTAGCTGTGCTCAATAGCTAACAGGTTAGCCTCTTTCAGCTAGTCGGTTAGCCATATTAAGCTACATAACTTTTAACTTTGTGTCAACCGTTTTCTACAAGAAGAATAACTTTTATATTTGTCCAAAATCTCTACGAAAGTCATTTTTAAGATGTCCCCTTTTCCCTCCATTGCCCTCAGATATTAATAAAAGAATAAAAATAAGCTGAGACATTTTTTGTCATCTTGTTAAATGGCAGACCTCAGTCTTAGAACACAGCACTTTCCTTCAAGACTGAAAATGATTGTTTTCCATTGATCCTTAAAAAACTGGTGCAATACAGTATGTCCGAGTGCGAGCTGAAATATGTTGACGTCATAAGGAGGGGCGGGGCCCTGAGCAGATCTGGTACCTACAGCTCAGAAGCTTGGTTTGGTGTAGAGGGCTTACAGCCGTACATGTTTGAGCCCTTGCCTCGCAACAGTTCTATTAGCTCTACGCCTGCCGAAGACACAGACATCCATCCCCGTGAACACTGGGACGGAACTCAATGGGAAAGGAAATTATTCTTATTTCAACCGTTGCGTATATTAGTATATTAGCATATGAAGATCAAGATGCTATGACCGAAAACATTTGATTGACAGATGACCGTTGATATATGATTGGGCGAATTTAGATGTTCAGGCTGATGTATAACTGGCCTGCATAAGATAAGCATGCATAAGCCAGAATGATTTGACAATTAATTATAATTTCCCTACAACATTAACATTGAATTATAGACAGCTGACCTATCAAGTTCACTGAAGCTCATTTAATGCATCAAAAATGTTTGCAAGCTACTGTAATATTATTTAAGAAGATAATGGACATTGATTGAAAGCATGTTTACAGAGAAAGTTGAGACAAAATCTCATTGAAGTACTAATGAAGTTCAATAGCTCTGAATTAAAATCCTGATGCAACCGTAGCAGAGCCGACTGGTATTGTTAGGGAGCCACCAGTAAATAACAGGATGGAGACAGAAACCTAATGCAGATATAACACAAAAGCAGGAATCATTAGCCACCAAATCAGGTCAGCAAAAGGAATGTGAATGTGATTGGCTGCTGATCTGGACCACATACTCACTGCAGCCCTCAGCTCCACACATGGCTGCTCTGCACCCGTGCAGCAAACTGTTAGAATGAAGGATTGTTCCACACAGGATCACGCAAACTAATCCAGTCTGACATAAAAACCAACTGAGGTTCAGCCTCATGTAAAACTACTGGATGAAGCAGGCAGAGTTTTTATTTTCGTCTAAATAAAAACATTCAACTTGTAGAACGGTAGGCATTTGGCACAGGACGTCATGTCCATTATTGTGCATGAATATGTCAATAAACGGCGTTCACTGAATACGTTAATTTTTGTGGTGATCGGTAAGCTGAACAGATCAGTTTTAAAGCAATGAACATTAACGAGAGAGACGTTCACTATAAGAAGACTGAGCAACACGCACAGCTCACGTTAACGTTTAATTGACAACAACACTTTTCAATGGTCAGGTTTTACGGCTCCTATTATGGCAAACAGCCTGACAGAGCAGCACGCCGGTACTAGTCTGCTCCATTCAGACTCATCTGCTGGTATTTCTGATGCCAGTTTAGCAGAGCCTTGGCAGAGTTTGATCAACAAAGGACGACTTGAACAGAAAAAAAAATAGTTTTTGTGTAAGCTGTGCCCATCAGGACTTAACAGAGTCTGTACGTCAGCCATGTCCACTTCATATTGAAAGCGACACATCAAGTTAAAGCATCTAAGCTATTATAGGAAATATCTCCCTCTGACTGAGGAACGTAAGGAATCATTTTGGATCCAGATCCTTTCAGCAGAACCTGAACCTGTTTCTGAAAATGACTGTGTCCCTAGGTTCACCACCAATCACACCTGGAAGTTTGCAGAGGACACCACGGTGGTGGGCCGCATCAGAGACGACAACGACCACAACTACAGGGAGGAGGTGGAGCAGCTCATGGACTGGTGTATAGACAGCAACCTGATCCCGAACATAGAGAAGACAAAGGAGATTATCTTGGACTTTAGGAGGAACCGGCCTAAACACGCTCCACTGCTCATAATCATGTTGTGATATGGCCAATACAGTCTAATTGGAAATAAAATGGCTGTTTTGCTCATAATGTTGGGCCATATGCTTCAATTTAAATATGTGTATAATGTAATACTTGTATTTTTCCCTTGGGGGATCTGAAGTCAACAAGTCATTTCTATGTCATATGTTTGTCCTGCCTAGCCAATTAAACAGGTGAGTCCAACCTGCTAGAGTGAATTGATCTATGCAGATTGGACTTACCTGGTTCACTGGCTGGGCAGAACAAACAAATTACATAGAGATGACTAGAAGGTTTGTGTGTTAAGGAAAGGTTTAGACCCAGCACTGACATGGAATCCCTTTTTAAGTGTTTACTAACTTTTTTAGTGTTATTAGATTAAGAAATGTGTTATTACAGAGTTCATGTGAGGCTTTTATTTGAAATCCAACTGTCCTGTGTTAACAAACATGGTGTACATTCCTTCAGATGTCAGCAAAAGGTAGATCCTCCATTTACTTTAGTCTAGGATCAGCTGCAGAGCTTAAACCGACTGGCTCCCCCATCTGTGATGTCATCACAATGAGTGGAACACTAAACCTTCGTTTTCACCGGGTGCATTTTCTATATCAAAACATCTTGTTTACTTGCAAAGTCTATAGGGGACAGCATTGAAAAAGTCCAGCAGCAGATATGCATTGGGAACAGCCATCCGAGTGTTCTGGCATCCGAGCTTAGGAGCATCCATGCTTCTGAGCGCTCTGGTATCCGAGCTTCAGAGTGTCCCTGTATCCTAACATTCTGGTGTGCGAGCATTCAATGCTTGTTTTTTCATTGTAGTCCTGTTTCTCTGACTGTGACTGACTGGATGTGCTCTCTTCATCCTCTGACATGGGAGCTGGCTCGGAGCTCGTCTGCCTGGCTGTGTGTTTCCTGAACAGGGCCGCCTTTTATAGCTGCTTTTTGTATCTCTGCTTCTGTCTCCTTGAACCCCAGTCGGCCTCAGCAGATGGCCGCTCACACTGAGCCTGGTTCTGCTGGAGGTTTCTTCCTGTTGAAAGGGAGTTTTTCCTCTTCACTGTCGCTACAAGCATGCTTAGTGTGAGGGATTGCTGAAGAGTCAGCTGGTTTTCCTTAGATGAAAAACGCTGAATCAATCTGACTGTATGATCTGGTGAACTGGAAAGTACCTTGAGATGACGTGTTGTGAATTGGCGCTATAGAAATAAACTGAATTGAATTGTACTTACTACTCAAGAACAAGTACCATCTCTGAGGCCATCTCGTAGACCTGGTGGAGGTTGACCACCCGTGGACTGGCTGTGGCCAGCTCAAGCACGGCGATTTCATGGATGATCTCCGTCCGGCAGTCCTGACCTTTCCGTCTCTTCCTTATAAACTTGGCGGCATACTCACGGCCTGTAGATTTCTCCACACACTTCCTAACCACAGCAAACTTCCCCCTAAAATAAAGGAACAGTGTCAGAACATGGCACATTTACTATCGCCTGCTTGGCATTCATTGAGAAACAGAAAAACTCAGTTCACACCGATGATCGCAATGCTCAATTCTGATTATTTGCGCAAGAATTTCAACTTGTTCTCCCATTAGCCGTTCATACCACTGATTTATTTTGCCATCAAAGACAAAGGAAGGCAAGAAAAAAAAAAAAAAGCCCAGGCCTTTAGTGTAGCAGAGATGCTGAAGTCTGCATGGGGGAATCAAACAGGGACAATATCGCTGTTTTTCACGGCGATATTGCCCCCCCCCCAAAAAAAACAATAATGATGGAAGCAAGCTTTAAGAGTGCTATAAAGATGCACTGAAGAGTATCATTTACGTTGTCAATGTAATTTTTATTGTAAAATTTCTACAAAGGAAAATTATCATAATGTGAAAAAGTTAATTATACATTAACTTTAAACATTTACATCCTATCTAATTAACAACAGCTCACTTAAAACAAAAACACAGCTATGTAAACATGAATAGAAAATAGCTTTAGGATTGTGAAAACGCATTCAAGTAACGGGGCAACTGGTTGATTGTCTGTTTACATGATGGGACAGAGACAGTTATTTAATGTAAACATCGTGCTAAACAGCTACTATCATTAGGCTGATGTCAACCATCGGATAAATATGGCCTTTTACTGTTGCTTGGTCTGTTTGATGAAGGGAAACTCTCAGCTCTGTGAGCTTTCTGGCTTAGTTGTCTGGCCTCTGTGTTTTTTACAGACACACAGGCTCAATAAATGCTGGATTCATTCTGGTTTATTCTGTCTTGAAAACTAATAATGAAACACAACAAAATAAAAATAAAAACTTGCAATCGTGTGTAATTTCAGACGCACCCAGCTGGGCGGCATCATTAATGATGTGATTCCCCTCCCACATTGAGGAGGGTTAACTAAGTAGCTGTATCCAATAAATAGCTATCTTATTTTACTAAATAGGTTAAAAATCTATCATTACTTTGAACTATTCAGTTAAGAAACCTTTCAGGAAAAAACAATAGGGGACTTCTTCCTCTCTCCTATTTCTTCTTCCTATCTCTTCCTTTTTGAAACCCAGACTTTGGGTTCTGCATTTTTCAGCCGCGGACTGTTTTTTGCCACTCTGCTGCTTATTTACACATTTCCTTGTCAATTGTTAATTTCTTTTTTCTGGCAGTTAAGTAAATGCAGGAGTTCTGTTTCAAGGTTGCAAAAAAAAAAAAAAAAACGTCATAGTTTGTAATGTTGAAAGAGCATGAAACAGGTCATTTAAGGAGCTAAGGAACACATTTTTAACAGAATGCTGCTACTAATCATACTGACGGAAAGTATGATGTGTCAACGATAACTGTGAGGTAAAGTTTTTTTGTTTTTATGAAATTCAGGAGCGTAAAACAGTTCAGCTCTAAAGGCTGAATCACTGAGCACATCCCAAGCCTCTTGTCTGGTTTTTGGGTTTCATTTAGATTAAACCATCTCAATGGTTTAATCCTGCATGCTCCATATATCCTGTGTATGTACTAATTTATTTTTAACAAGTTAGAAAAATAAAGGAACTTCTCAAGACATTTTGCATTTACAAATAGGCATCTGTGTGATTAATTACCAGGGAGGGGATTTACCATTAGAAAATACTAGGCAGCTGCCTAGGGCCGCAAGTTCCTGGGGGCCCCATAAAACTCTGTTAACATTTATAGTTAATAAGATTATTCCTTATTTGTGCATGTTCAGAAAGGTTTGAAAACAAACGATGCGAAGAGCAGCATTGCCAACTTAAAGCATTTGTCGCTATATTTAGTGACTTTTCAGACCCCTCTAGCACTTTGATTTCAAAAAAGCACCTAGCGCTCAAATCTAGAGACTTTTTTCTGCTACTGGAGACTTTGGTGACAACATCTAAAAGCAGCGAACTCTGCTCTCCAGAGCCAGTAGATTGGTAACCCCGCCTCCTGCTCTCCTCTATCTTGTCTGCTGTCATGATTCATGCAGCTATTATTTCATCCAAATGAAAAATGGAGAACAGATAAGCAGATCATGGCTTGTCTACAGTGAAAAGAAGGACTGGGTTATTTACTTTGGCCTTTTTGGAAACACAGGAAGGAGCAATCAGCTAAGTGAGCTTAGTGCTTGGAAAAAATCTTTCATTCCTTTAGAGACAGCATGAAAAGTCAGCTGAGTACAAAACATAGAGAGGAAAACAAGAAGAAGAGAGGGACAAGAAGAGAGGGACACAACCTAGAACAGATAATTGATGTCTATTCTATTAACATTTCTCTATCTGTAGAATGGGGCTGTTTAATGTGTTGTCTCAATTCAGAGGGCCCCCTGCCTGTTGTTGCCTAGGGCCCCACAATTCCTAAATCTGCCCCTGTTAATTACTATTGGGTGAGCCATGATTAACACGGCTAGTGACGGCCTGACTGTCCCCCTGAGTCAGAACGCTAAAGAATAACAGCAGATCAATCAATCTCATTGATTTTATTGTAACTAATTATCTGCTGGTTCACACTATTTATTAATCAGGCCAGAATAGGAAGGACTCCTATTTAGGAACTGTGTCAACCGGATTTCAGCTCAAGGAAGGCACATTAGCTGGCAGGCAGCATGCATCACAATAACCGTTTGTACCCCCTAAGAATTGGATTAAATTTCAATTCAGTTTATTTATATAGCGGAAATTCACAACAGATGTCATCTCAATGTATTTTAAGGAGATGATATGGATCTGTCGAGGAAAACCAGTTGATTGCATCCAGAACTGACTTACAAGACATGCTCCTCCTGGATGAGCTTCTGATTTTGGCTTACATTTTGTTGTTGAGTCTTAAACTACCCCTCACACTAAGCATGCGTGCAGCAACAGTGATGAGGAAAAACTTGCTTTTAAAATTGCTTAAGTTTTCTCTGCTTTTTCTTTCTGTTCCTGTTTGGCTGTGACTCCATCCTGCAGAGAAATATCAGCTAAACACCTGTTTTTATAGATGTTAGAGATCAGCCTGTTTTCCAGTGTAGTCCTGTTTCTCTGACTGGACAGTGGAGGTGGTTCACAGCTGCTTTTTGTATCTCTACTTCCGTCTCCTTGAACCCCAGTCGGCCTCGGCAGATGGCCGCTCACACTGAGCCTGGTTCTGCTGGAGGTTTCTTCCTGTTCAAAGGGAGTTTTTCCTCTCCACTGTCACTAAAAACATGCTTCTGCGAGGGATTTCCTTTGACTCAATGAGTCGATGCAATCAACTGGTTTTCCTTAGATAGAAAACTTTGAATCAATCTGACCCGATGATCTGGTGAACTGGAAAGTGCCTTGAGATGAAGTGTTGTGAATCGGCGATTTATAAATAAACTGAATTGAATTTTATATGGGGGATATAGCAGCGGAATGAAACTGCTTGGACATAATTGTTCACTGTCTGTTGGAAATGTTTCCATTTCCCCGCCCCCCCCGCTGTGACCCAGATTATACGCTGTAGTGGAAGCGGGCCTCATGTGAAAAGCATGTGAAACGTGCCGCAGGCAGGCCTCCGCCATGGAGGCTGGTAAACCATGAGGCTTCTGGTCTCTGCTGACAGTCAGCAGCAGCTTGGCTAAACCAGGGAGCCAAAAGGGGAACGCTCTGCCTGTGGCCGTAGGAAACAAGACACACAACTCATTCCCAAGTATTTCAGCATCTGAACCTTTAAGGACAACAAAAACTGAGCGAAAATTGTGAAAAAACTATATAAAAAAAGCAAAAGAGGGAGGAATTCCTTTAACATGTAAATCATGCAGAGGTTTTATCATCTTTCCCACAGCGAGCTCTAGCCTAAACCCTTTGCTTCAATTCAGTTCAGTAATCAGTAGCCAAAAAGTAACAAGTAGAGATGTTTTCACAGTGAATGTTTATCAGCAATCCCTCCACACAGGCTGGACTTGAACTTTTTTTCTTTGCTTTTCCACTTTCAGTGCCATCATTTTCTTTTGTCCTTCATTCATTTATTCAGGTTTTAATTTAATCCAATATTGTAAACACAAAGGAAAAAACAGCCCTAAACAGCAGACACTGATACCCTAAAAAGCTCAAATTCATCTGTTGAAGTAACTCACAACAAGTAATTACAAGTAATGATCATTTCAGTAAATGGGAGGCCTATCTTGCTGTTGGTTAATGCATTTATTGGGGCAGAGTATCCATTCAGATTGTAAAGAATTTTTTTTCTGTGTAATCCGGTCTGGTCTGATCTCAGATCAGATTTAATGCATATTTTAAACAATTTCCAAAACATGTAAAGAAATAAATGTACATATGCATTTCACTACAGTACCACTGACAGATGGTTCAAGAGGCTGATATGACCAAACCCTACCAGTGTATAGAGAGGGCGGAGCTTAAAGCAAAAAAGTTTGGTCAGCAAAGAATAACCAGTGGATCATCATCTATACCTAAAACTAATACATTTGCTGTGATTTAAAGAATTTAGCTTTGATCAAGAATAAAAACAATAATTTTCGTTGTGATCAACGAGTCTGGGAGCGGCCATTTTTGCCCAAATATAGTAACCCCTCCCTCCTGCCATCCTCCTGCAGTGACGTCACGGTGCGGTAAGCCTAGCGCCATTCTCCCCGCTTTACAAGCTAAATCAATGGGAACTACTAGACACATCTGCAATCAACAACAATTATTAAAGATTTCCAGAGGACTTCACCATTGAAATTCACCAGAGCTATAGTGAAACTGACAATGCCCACGTGCATGGCAGCTGGATGCTGGAATACATCGGGTAAAAGTGAATAAAGAGTTATTACACCTTTCTGATTCCTGATCCTCCACGGACGGGTTGGTCGTTGGATCGCCAACTTGAAGAGGGAGGATTTGCCATCGAACTTCTGGCCAGAGAAAAAACACGTAATATGTAGCCAACATTTGGAAGAAGAATGTTTTCAAGATGACTTGGATAATAGCGCGTTGTGACAAACACCAGATACAGCACTGG